GACCCGCCACGTCATTTAAACCCTCCATGTCAGTCAAACCTAACCAAACCTCTAACCAAACCAGACCAGATCGTTCAGCCGACCCACTTCTTCTCCACCACGTCGTAACCCCACAGATCGTTCAGCCGAAGACGTAGATCGTCTTGCCAGCTGCACGATTTTTGGGTGATTCTTTCTTTGTTATTTTCCAGGTGGTGATGAAGATTGGGGTTACGACGTAGATCTTCTGATACAACCGGGTCTTCACGGCCCGATCCAACGACTCCCGATCCTCCTTCCTCTTCGGCAGCTCCACGGCTCCGCCGTACGTCGCTTCCACGCAGCTCTTGAAGCGGAACTCCTTCCTCTCATCCCCTCTCTCGCCCTCCTCCACGTACTCCGCCATGAACATCAGATACCTCTTCGCCATATCCGCCTCGTACAAGTCGTCTTCCATCCTGTTCAGCTTCTCCTCCCTCGGATCCACCCTCAGCCGCCTCCTCCTCTCTGCTCCCTAGGAATGGCAATGGGGCAGGTCCGGGGCGGGTTTCTTGGTACCCAGACCCGCCCCGTGGCAGGGCGGGTCCAGGTCGGGTAATTGATCACGGGTCGCGGGTCGGGGCCGGTCGACCCAATGGGTATGCAATTTATTTGAAAAATATTAGAAATATTCATTATTTTTATTATAAAATTAAGAAAACAAACAATATTATGACAATTGTAGTTAAATTATTGGAGAAATTGAGGTTTTCACTAATTTACAAGTTTATTATAGCTAAAATATGATGCAATAAAAGTAAAATTCAAAGTAATTTGACTAAGATTTCATGTAATTTAGACAAGAACGGGTCGAGAATGGGGCGGGTCAGGGCAGGTCGGGTCGAAAAGACTACCCATGCCCGCCCCGCACCGCCTTCGGGGCGGGTCGAACCCGCCCCAAAACAGGTCAAACAGGTCGGGTAAAATGGGTCAGGTCGAAATTGCCATCCCTACTGCTCCCACCACGAAATCGCACTCCTCTGCCGCCACCGACACGCAGCTAGTGTTCAGAATCGACGGCGGCGATGATTTCGATTTCGATTTTGTCTCCGGCGACAGCGGCAGGTAGCTCGGGGTCAGCCTCTTGGATCTAGAAATTAGGGATTTCGCTCATTCCTTTTCCCTTTCTCTGTTGGCAACTCGTCGTTCTTCTTTCTCTTCCGCGACGGCGACGGCAGCAGCTAGCGGAATCAATTGGGACAGCGACCTACTGATTTCCTCGCCACCGCCGTCGGTGCTGTAGCGGTACAAGCTCGACGGAGGGAACTTCTCCCGATTTTCAAAAATTAATTCCGAGATTTCTTCCCTCTGGAGATTATTTCCGTTTACGGGTTTCGCCCTCTTTGAAACCCTATGTTCTTCCACCGCCGCCTCCTGATCCCCGCGATCCCCAATCTTCCTCGAATAGGGTTTTTCTCCTTGCGGGACGACGACGGAGATCGGCGTAGCTTCGGTGACGGGGAGAAACCATAAACCACCCGGTAAAACTTCTGAATCAAGTCGCCCTGCCCTTCCAGAATTTCTGGGTGAGATTCTTTCTTTGTTATTTTCCAGGTGGTGATGAAGATTGGGGTTACGACGGCCGGCTGAACGATCTGTGGGGTTACGACGTGGTGGAGAAGAAGTGGGTCGGCTAAACAATCTGATCTGGTTTGGTTAGAGGTTTGGTTAGGTTTGGATGACATGGAGGGTTTAAATGACGTGGCGGGTCAGTCAATTTTCAGGTTAAAAGGTGATGATTAGGCGAATCCGTCAGCCACGTCATCACTTAACGGACACTGTTAACGGTTTTGGACGGCAGCTAGGGATGGCAAAAATATCCATAACCGTGGATATCCGCCCGAATCCGGCCTAGTCGGGTAGGGTAAAACCCGAACCCCAAGGACATTTAGTGGGTACGGGTAAAACCCGAACCCGAATATTGCGGGTAATGGGTGGGCATGGATTTCTCACTATCCGACCCGAACCCGCCCGATTATACACATGCATATGTATTTTGTCTAGAAATAATCATTATTTTTCTCTAACATATTTTATATTTAGCATATAAATATAACATTTTCATGAAATTGTGTTGTTTTAGTTAATTTTCTTCATTCTAGTGAATTCTTGTCGTACTTTTTCTCTTACTTAATATAAGAATACGTGTGAATGTTAACATATTGGTTGGAGTTATGAAGAAAAATTAATATCCATGGATAACCGTGGATACCCGAAACCCGAACGGGTATGGGCATGGTTTGTATTTTCTACCCGTTTCACATGTGGGTATGGGTATGGGTAAAACCCGAAGTACTTTGGGTAGGGTAACGGATATGCACTATCCGCCCCGACCCGACCCATTGCCATCCCTAACGGCAGCTAACGGAGAGTGACCATAAATGAACGGTTTTTGTAAAGTTAGTGACCAAAAATGGATTTAAATATTTCGAGTGACCAAACATGAACGCTTTTTGTAATGTCAGTGACCAACCATGCAATTAACCCGGTAGGTTGGTAAAAGATTATGGACTTCAAAGTCCATGATCAATTTTCACTTAAAGAGGTGGAATTTTCAAGTCCGTGGGGTCCACGAATTTGGACCATCAAAGTCCATTGGGCCCGCAGATTTGTTACCTTTAAATACTCAAAGCAAACAATGAATTTTTGACAATGTTCATCATGGATCCAAATCCTTCACCAATTCAATCAAGCAAACAAGTCCTTAAACTTAAATGTGTTTTCACAAAGTTCACTATAAAAAATACTCTTTCAACGAATTGCAACATCGACTTGTAAAACATCTTTCACAAGTCGATATAGCATTGAGAAAATTTAAATGAATATATGAATTAGAGGTCACACTTACATAGTGTTACGAGATCGAGCCATCGTAGCATTTCGTAGTAGACTGGGCTTGCGTATCTTTAGTATTTTATTATTATTATATTATTAGGCTTTTATTATTATATTGTCTTTAATATTGTTTTCCTTGTTCGTATGGGATTTGGTTATTGTTGATAATATCCTTAGAGGTTTAGGAGTCATAATCTAGATAGGTAAGGGTAGAGGCTTGGTGTCTATAAATATGTACTCGTTTCGTTCGTTTAATGAGAAGAAGATTGGAACCCAATAGTTAGCTTTTGTCCTTTATTTGCTATTTCATTAGTTATTTCCTTTGAGAGTTCTTAGCGTTTTATTCCTTTTACGAGAAAACCCTAAAATCGTCACCCCCTACGTCACATCACCGTAACACATAGTTACATCACAAAACCAAGTGCACTCTGATGGTACGTACTTTAGTTAATAGCATGAAGTCATAGGTTGGAATTTTTATACTCTTTGTCTTTGGGACATAAATTTCCTTATTTTTTATTGGTTTCTCCTCAATATTTTATGCTAAATTATAATGTTCTTACATTACAAAATGTTGAAAGATTGTGGGTATTAACCATTCCCCCTAAATCTCAGTTCAATTCCGAGAAGCATATCATGACTAGAAATTGAATGGGAAAGATGAAAGGAGAAGAAGGCATGTAATTTGGGATATAGTGAAAATTCCCAATGGAGACGAGTTGATAGCTAGATTTCTGTCCATTTTGAAAGAATTAGAAAGATCAACGTCATCGCATTTGTATATACAACTAATGGAGAAAGTCAATTGATGTGTCCTAATTAATTAGTTGTCGTCGGTAATAAAATTGAAGACTGCTATAGACACGATCGACATGAGAGTTGAGACTTGGAAAAATATCAACAAGGCAACTTGTGGTGCATACATGTTTGATGTTACTTAACAACCTGGCATGTCCCTTTTCACCATTCAATTGCCAATTTAATTGTTTCGGTGTCATCTGAAACCGAAAAGCCCAAAAAAATATCTATATATCCCTAGTGTTGGTTTATTTTTGTTCCTCCAAAGTTACTACAATTATTGCCTATCAATGCTTGTTAAGATTAAAGATAAGAACTGCTCACTTGACAAAGATAAGATGTGAACTGGCAGGATCCAAAACTTACTATTTGCGGTTAATGTAGTATTCTTCAATCAGTTTGATAGTTCAAATCACGAGAAATAATTTGTTTAATTACCAAGTTATCTCCGTTCACTTTCTGTTTTAATTTTATCTCTTACAAAATGTCATTTTAAAATGAATTTCTTAAAAACTTAGAATTGATTTATACCAAATTATATTTGATTTGAAAATGTTACTAAAAAATTAAACATATATCCAGTCTATTCTTTAGGGTATCATAAAAATTTATTATAATTTTTTTGATTTTATCCTTTATTTATATTCAATACTTTTATTTTATCATTTTTCATTAGGTACATCGTTCAACTTTTTTTTACTTTAATTTCAAACAGTTTATCATCATTCGGGTTTCATTTTTAAAATGTACCAAACGTTCCGGCTAAACAGTTTTCATTCTCAAGAAACGGTAGCTTGGTTTCTTCATAAATTATTTATTGTTGCCTAATCACAGGAAACGAATATGCAAGTGTAATTAGACCTAAACACGTGAAGGAAATGATAAGTTTATAGTTGCCTAAAACTTCCGCATCCGTATTATTGTCAAGCCGTTTCATTAGTTTCCGTTCATTTGACAGCTTCCGTACTATACACGTATAAAACCCGTATAATACGTGTAATATCCGTATTTAATGAAATAGATTATTAACTTTACCATTTTTTACATATTTATTTTTTTATAAAAATAATTAATATAATATATTTATTACTATTGACGTACTATTAAACGTAACATTAGCTAAAAGACGAAGTATAATACCCGTATGTATTTTATACGTAACTTTCCCGTACCGTATTTTACTAGCTACGCTAATTAGGCATGGTTAATCGAGTTGTTGATGTGTGATTTGAGACCCATCAACGCATAAAAGTTTAACTCAGAAGTCGCAATGGATGAATGAGTAATTTGGTTGAGCCACATAGCTCATGGAACGAAACTTGTTGAATCTTGGCAGTTGACTTATTGATCCGGGAGGAAAGCCCTGAACCCCAATTGGCCCAGTAGTAAGTACATTTTAATTGAGCCCATGTGATTAGTTTCCATTGGGCTTGGGCCCTCTTGCAGAATCGTTCCCCTTCGGTCCCCAGCAGCGAGGAAAGGGGAAAGAAGGCAACAGATCAAAATCCCCCATTTTTCATCTTCTTCATCGTTTTCGTTTATTCGTTCGTCGATTGAAGGGCAAATTCCAGTGGAAAAGTCGCAGCAATGGAAGCTCCAGGATCATCGAAGCCCATGATCGCAACGCAGGCGGAGATGGTGGAAGCGAGAGTCCCCATGGCGTACAGAGACCAGTGCGCCCACCTTCTCATCCCGCTCAACAAGTGCCGCCAGGCCGAGTTCTATTTGCCCTGGAAGTGCGAGAACGAGCGCCATTCTTACGAGAAGTGCGAGTACGAGCTTGTGATGGAGAGGATGCTCCAGATGCAGAAGATTCGGGAACAGGAGGCCAAGTTGAAACAGCCAAACAAAGGAGGTGTTGCTATCGGCCTCATCCCCAAGACTGCCAATGCCTAGACCCAACAATCCTGGTATTCTTCTTCGATCAATTCAACTTCTTTCATGCCTCTTTTCCTTCAATTCGGGTTAGGAGATCTCTCATTTGCTAATGCGCTTTTCAGGAAGTTGCTTGAATTTTAATCGAGGTGGTGCTTGAGTTCCGTGTTATCTTGTATTAGGTCCCTTTTTTCCTTTGTTTCGTCTGGTCCTTCTGTTGGGAATGCTCGTAGTTTCCACCGAGGAGTCATTTTTGTTGATAATTTTCGGTTAATAAGACTTGGGTTTAGTGACTTGCAAACTCAGTTCTTGATAGACTTGGTAGTTTTCCTGAATGGTGGATTCAGTTTTTTATTCTGTTGGGCGATGGTCAGATTGTATATTTCCTTCTCAGAATTTGCTCGAGAATGGCACTATGGCTCTCGTTTAGGAACCTTGTGAGTTAGTTTCCTCTAGGTTTTTCAAGTTATAATACAAGTTATAGTAGAGAATGTGTTTGAAGAACTTACTGCTGGCATGAGGATTTGCATGCTTCCTTTAGGCAGATTTTTATCAGGTTTGGACAGTCGAGAAATTTGTGTTCACTATCAGTAGTTTTGTGAGATTCAGAGGTTTTTAGCAATAGCTTTTCGCAAGTTTGGTATATGAAGGCCATAAGCTGTAGAACCTCATTGTTGTTGGGTTAAGATCAAATTGAGAAAATATAGAGTTGATTTAAAGCAATTCCTCTTGCTGAGTTCCAGAAAGACAACCCTTACTGAACTTACATTTCCACGTAAACTAAGGAATGGATGTTGAGAGGAGGATGCAAGGTCTTTTACATTGATACCTTAAGCCTCTTCCTTCAGGGTAGACTGATCCACTTGTCTGGGATAAGCATATAAAGGTAGCTGGTGATAAGCGGAGGTATCTGCTTCTTTTTCCATACAAGAGGATTGTTCTGCCATAAAAGCGAGCAGCTTTTTGTTCAATAATTACTCACGTCAAATTAGAACCAGGCGGCAAAGCAATGCTACAGAAAACTAACCCGTTCCTTAGTGTTGCCATTCTCACTGGGATAGCAGTGGTAGGACATGCTGCTACAGCCTACTGATAATGGTCTCTTACTTGGATGTCTCGTTGGTTTTAAACAATTTTGTGAACTCTTGCATTTTGAGTATTAAGTAACCCGAGTAACATTATATTTCTATCCAAGTGTTCCCACTAGGTTATACCAACCGTTAAGATATTGAATCTTGATTTTACTTTGAGCAAGAAACACTTTGGATGGATTTCATAGTCAGTGTACTCTAGAATGTGGACTACAGTGGATCAATGTCTTCCTTGGTTATTGTCTCTTATGGGGATGGTTTTCATAGTCAGTGTACTCTAGAATGTAGACTACAGCGGATCAATGTCTTCCTTGGTTATTGTTTCTTATGGCTGTGTTCTTTGCCCGATTTATCCATGGCTTTCAAGTGGACTTTTGCGAATACCCTTTCACTGGCTTCACCTTGATATGTGTATGTATACCGTGTTCTATATCCATTCCTTGACCTCGATTAGCTAGGGATGGATCAATAGAGTCTTAATTTCCATCCTCTTCTTTCTGGACATTGCATCCACTTTAACTTAGCCCGCTGCTAACTTCAACAAATGGAAACTTGGGATCTAACTAAGGACATTTTAAAACTTTAGTATTTGTTCCCCGTCATCCTGTTTCTTCTTTGTCACTCAGCTGGTAGCTCTATAATGTTTACTACAAAACTTTGCAGTATGTTTCAATTCACATTGAGTACAAATGTTTGCATTATCCATTGCAAAATCTTTCTCCTTGGTCACGGAACTGAACTGCCTGAAGTTTGGGAAAGCACTAAGTTTGATTGCATTTTAATGAAGAAATGCAGTTGCTGTTCATGATCGAGGTGGTAATAATAACTCTGGAGTAACCCTCTTTTTTGCCTATGGCTCCCTAACTTTGATTTGCTCTATAAGGCAACTGCTTATAGTTTTTTTTTTTTTTGGCAATTGCAACTGCTTTTAGTTGAAGAATTACTGCATTCGCAGTCAAACATACACATTATATATCCGTCATGAATTAGAAGGGGTGTCATCCCCTCTAATCCATTGCCATAGCATGTCTCTTGAGAATATGTTTTGGCAGCTGAGCTTAGAGCGTTCTGTGACCTATGATGCATGCTTCAGTCTTTCTTGCCTCTTGCTTTTTATGAATGCAAAAGTGAAGCAATAAGTCTTGTGCACGTTGATATAATACGCATAGTAGTGATTAATTCTTGATAGATTCTGGTTATAAAGTTGTGTTTTTTCATTTGCGGTTTTTTTTTCTTCTTTTAACCAGGCAAGTACGTGAAGTTGAAGGTAGCTGACAGGATCCTTATTTGGCCCATCTTTCTATTTTGGTTTTAGTTGGTTGTGAAGGATGATGTCGATGAATCAAAAGAAGATAGAACTCTTACTTTTTTCACTCTGTTGTGAACCATTTGTTTGAGAATAAAGTCCTCCAGGCTACTGATCTGACTGTTGTGGCTTGCTTGTTTGTTCTCGACCATTCCTTTCTTTTTCTAATTTCGAACACTTTTGAAATAGATGTCTCATAACTTCGTTGTTGCGGATTTCAGTAGACTGTATTCTCTACCAAGAATTACTCTGTGGTTTACATAAGAAAATTTTCATTGAAAGTTCATGTATTTGCCATTAAGACATACTTATAAGAGAAGAAAAGGATGGCTGAAAGACGTATAACTACCACGGTGAATTCTTGATCATCATTGGGCTGCGGGATTACCTAATACTTTGATTTTTTAAACCTCGTTAGCAGCCTTAATCTTCCTTATGGACTCTTGGATATGTAAACGCCAAATCAGTCACTTCTCGCACAATCTAGAATTGACAACCACACACAGTGACTAATTATTCATTAATGAAAAGGCTACAATCATTAACCAAAAAACGCACACGTGTTGGTGTGGAACGTTTCGGGCAAAGGCTCGTGTCGTGTGACCAGCTGCCTGCTAGGTTTTGTAACATTGAACCTTTGCCACTGCCAAATCCACTTTCTTTCCTAAAGTCCAACAAAAATGTTCCTTTACGACAACCAAAGGCACTCCCGTCAATTCAATCCCTTTCAACTTCCACCAGGTATTTTAACCTTCCAAATAGTTTTGCATTCTAATCAACTAGCTTTGTTCCTGGCCATTAGCCGGGTTATTTCCACCATTATTAATCATTTATAGTCACGATTAAATTATAATCATATACCGGTTCTATCGATAAAGTGAAAAGATCATGAATCATAGATAACATAATAAACATGTTTGATTACATGATAGCCTTAATCTTATTGTAATAAATTAATAATTAACATAACTAATGGAGTTCATTTTATAAGTTTTCAATGAATATAATCAAATATCTTATTGGTTAGAATCTTTACATTAAACTTGCATGTTGTGTGTTCGAATCCTAGTAATAATCATTTATATTTTTGTTTATTTTTAATCGCTGAGTTTAAAAAATTTAAATCATAATAGTGACGTGAAAAACAATGCTGATGTGGATGCATGAGAAAATGTACATTATATTATCTTGGTAATTTTTAACATCCGTATACCTGAACTGGTTAAACACCGTACTAAATCAATAAAAATGGAGAAATATGCCAAGTTATGCTAAGTTAACTGTTGCTGTCTTTCAGAGGATTTTAAAAGAAACATAAGTAGTTCTGTCATTTAGTGGGACTGACCATAATAAAAGCGTTCACGTCAATGCAATTGCAAAAGTATTTCCAACTCTTTTCTTTTAATCCACCTCAAATCACTTTCATTCACTTAAATCAATACAATTAACTTGCAATTGCATATGTAATTAAATATTATGTTTAAATTAGATGCCACATCAGTGTGATTGGTTTTGCAATTGCAAACACGCATGTCATGTCATCTTGCAATTGAGAATGCAATACCAATATGAATGTTTTTATAGTGTAAGGCTGATATGACAGGGGTCAAAATCTCAAACTCTTTTGATATTTTTATAGATAGATAGAGATATACACTAACTAAAATGCTAATGGATGCTATGAGTATGAGGTCTATTTATACTTGGACTTCTTTAAAACAAATGAGTTAACTTGGACAGATTACTTTTTTTCTTATAAGAAAGATATAAGTTTTACATTTTTGACAAGGTACTATTTAAGTGATTCAAATTCGAGACCTCCATATTAAAATAAAAAAGCTATTTGTATTACTACTAAACCGAACCCTTGTTCGTATTTATGCATATTATTTTTCAAGGTAAATTTTCCCTACCATTAATGTTCACCTAGAAGACTCTCCCTGACCTACAAATAATAGAGAACATATTTGTTAACTTTAGTGATAATATAGAGGTTCAAACAAAAATTTATACTCGCCTAGACATTTGTTTTACTTCCTAATTTATATTTGTACTAGGCAATGCCGCCCGCGTTCCACTGCGGAATTGAGATGAAGTTTTGAACCGTTTTTTTTATTATCAAAGTGCTCACATATATTAGGGTCAGTAATAAAATGACACCAAACTTTTAAAATATAACAAAAATGTCGAATAAGTATCAAGGTATAACCTAATTGCTTAGGATAAGAGGGAATTTTACAGGTTAGTTAGGTATATTGTATCATCGTATCACGATGTCGTGAATATAGAATTAGACAGGGTAGTTAGGCATACCTGAGTTTTGTACTCTATCTGCTCGGTTAAAATATATAGAATTCTGAAAGTCACGGGTTGTGCTTCAAAACATATGTGACACATACGCTTTTCTAAAAGCTTCGCATTGTAAAACTAGCCCTTTGGGGTTAGACCCAAAAAAATTAGAAGATTGTGTGAACCACTGTCATTAGCACTTGCTTAGTGTCTGATTATACACGTGCATATGTATTTTATTTATAAATTATCATTTCTTTCTTAACATATTTATCATGCATATATAATATTTTCATGAAATTATATTTTTATCACTAAGTTTCTTCATTTCAGTAATTTATTGTTATAATTTGTCACTTATATAATGTCGGTATATGAAGAGTTGTTAACATTATTCATGGATACCCGAAATCCGATCAGGTATGTGTATGGTTTGATATTCTATCCGATACTTATACTGTTATACAGATATGGATATGTGTAAAATCTGAACTATTTTGGGTTGAGAAATATACATACATTATCTGACTCCGACTTGTTATCATCTCTACCCACAGTGCATTTTAATGATAATATTATTATACATAAAGCCAAGATTTTTCTAAAATAAAATATATAGAAAGAGCCAACAACAAAAAGAAACACATTACTCCAATAGCACAATAACAATGAAAACCCATTTTGATTTGACATTATTATTATATGATGGTAATAAATGTAAAACTGAAAAAATAGGTGCCAAAACTGAAATTTTTAGACAACAGTAACTTGGATTCAAGTTTATATATAATAACAATGCTCAAAATTGGTTATATTGTACACGTTTTTGTTGGCATGTGATCAATGACCCATTGTAAATTTTCTACGAGTTTGGTCAACATCAACTCGATGTAGCTATATATGCAAGTTAAAAGGCATTCTCTAACTTGCATCTTTTTAACTTTGGAGTCTACAATTTTCTTGTCTCATAGATAAATTCCATTCATATGTTACATATTCTATATGTGTAATGTGTATATCAATATGTAGGAAGTAAGAACCTCTTTTCATTTCTCATTCACCAAGAAGTAAAACCTAACCTTTTATATGCCGCCTTTAATAATTTGGGTCTACATTTGCAACTTTCTTTCTCTAGGCGTTTCCATCTCACGGTACTTGTCTCTTCAAGGCCTAACTAAGCCAGTGGCTGCCAACTTGCATCAAAGAAAATGCTCCAACTTTTTGCCCCCAAACAACTATGATTTTTCTTACCAAAAGAAAAAAACTATGATTTTACAGAATGACGGAATTAGGTTGAAGTCATGAAAAGCTACATTATCCCCTTCTAACTTTGAAGTATGAATAAATTCACATGTAAAATCAAGAACAAATTTAGAGAATAGAATAGTCGGTAAGGTATTAATCCTCACTCTCCAAGTACTTCGGTTCAAATTAGTCCCTCCTCATTCGAATTCCTGACTTTGCACTGCTTAAACAAATAATTACTCATATCTCGTGACAAAAGTTTCTTCGTATAGTGATAACTATTTGTTCGCTCCAATAACTTGATTTATTGAGACAAGTAGAATGAGCTTTATTCTACTCTCTTACAAGTTCACTCAAATGAGAACCAACTCATAGATTTGAAACATACACAGTCCACGTTACCATATAATTAAGTCATGAATAAACATTGCAAGTCATCTGAATTCAAACATCAGACTTGTCGATCGTAAAATCTCAAACCATGAAACGAAAAAACAACTAATTAACTAGTCCCAATACTTTGGATTATTAAAATTTCCTTACTTTTGAATTTGTGGAGAATGTTCTAAGTTTAGGCAAGGGATGGTTGAATTGATTGGCAACAAAATCAAAAGCCCTTCAACTTTTTCCTTTAAGTAATAAGTGGGTTTTAGAAAAGGGGCCATGTTGTTATGTGTCCCTCAACAAGCGGAAACTTCCATGTGGTTAATTGAGGGGGTTAATTAGCTAGCTATCTAGATTTGATCGTATGTTGTGCATGCACGTAATTTTGGGTTGGCCCATGTGGCTCATGGGTCAACAAAGGCAAAACGCACAATTATTCAACACTTTTACCTAATTCCCCCAATATCTCTTTAGAATCAGACAGGGTAATATTTCTACGTTGATGGGACCATGCATGGACAAAATTTTCAATCATTAATTACTCTGTTCCCTCGACCTTTTTTTTAAGAAGGATAGTTTTCATTTCACCATGAATGATTGGTTACATAGAGGAAAAGAAGGAGCAAACTGAATCCAAAACAAGCTTACAATGTCCAACAACAAGCGATTGAAACACAAACCGTTCCCTCGACTTATGCACATCATTCTAGCTAAGCTAGCTGTGAAAAGAATTCATGATCTCCACTGCTACTCATATAAAATTATTCTTCTATGCAAGGGTTGCAATCGAATCAGAAGTATTAGATAGGAGTTTACAACAGTACGTAATCAACTGATTAATGTTTTCGCGGCGGGTTACTATTGCAATCATGCATGAAGTTGCCGCTTTATCCTCTCCCTAGCTAAATTTGTACCTCCAGATCACGAGAAATTGTTCAAGCCTCATCAAAGCTTAGCTCGTTCGCACAACCTCTGTCCATAATATAAGCCGACTTTATTATGGACCTCAAAACCAATTTAGCTATGCATGAAAGTGAAAGTGAGTGTTGAACTGTTGATGCCAAAGCCATGAAAAGAAAAGAAGGTGATTAATTAGTATTTGATTAGCACATGAAGTAATATATATTGAATGCAACGTAACCATGCTTTAGTTATTGATATTTAGGTAAAAGACTTGTCCTTCCTCTTGTTTCACGTCCTAGGTTGGATATTCCATATTCCTAGTTTTAGTTTGTTCTTACTTTTGCCGTTTTGCGCTCTCCCCATGAAAAAAACCTCCATGGCTTCCTTTATACCAATTCCCTGAGTTCACAAACCCTAATCCCGTGCAATGCCCAAATTCGTCCTCTTGATGGAATGTGCACATCTTAGCTAGACAAAAGAAATATGGTCCAATAGCGACTTTGTTTCCCGGATTAATTAATTCAAGCTCA